GGATGCCTCTTTGAATGCAGAATGGTCGGCCATAGGGCAGCGACTGTGTCGCGTACTGTCTCAAGGAGATTTGATCTATGAACTGCCCGAAGTGCTTTGTACCATTCAGAGGTTAGTGTGTCACAGTTAAAATAAACTATTGTACGATACGTCCAGGTTGCCGTTGCTCAGAGTCACGACAAATGTCAGATAAAATGTGTTTGTTTGCTGGTGATGATGGTTAGGGTGAAGTAGTGAGACTACTTCACTCGTATTTTTCTGCTGCTTTTAATTTGATGTGGCTTGCTCCAACCTTTGTTTAGGTTAGTTTTGGTGGATAGCAGCCAACCAGAAATATCAATTGGAGCAGAAATCGGTGCACCTCGAGATACCGTCCTGGTTCTCGTAATGTACCAGGTGAACCGACCGGAGATCCACATCTTCCACCTTTGATTCGCGTATGCTCCGCCGCGAGTTAGGTGTTCAAAGTAATACCGACCCCAAAATGGCGAGGGAGACTCATGGGTCCTGTAACTAAACGATATTAAACAATACCGTACCATGACCATGGCCCCCTATTAATGATAATTTTCTTGCATTTGTTTAGTATGCAACGACGGACAAGCTATTTTTAGGAAGAAAAGTAACGACCAGTGTTAGTTTGTTAATTATTGACTGGGGAAACAGGGCCACATTGGCTGGGGTCGAAAGCACAAACAAAGGACTCATGGTTGTCGTTGTCATCCGGCTCAATACCACCCTTAACCTAGCAGGGCTTTATGTGGTTCACCATTCCACGTCTCAGGACTTAGTTTGCCTTTTCCATGACTGAATGGTAGGACTTCGTGACTATGGGGTTTACCCCGTCTGTTTTTCATCACAGTTGTGTATAATAATCAAAGAACATCTGTGTTGTATTCAAATCATTGTGGGCATTTGAAACGTTTCGCTCTCTCTCTCTCCCTCTCTTTTTCGGGCTCCGTGATTTCCCTATCATACCAGCTATGTGCAGTGCCATGGACTGCGCATGCCCAAAGCACAGCGTATCGCTTTGCTTAACCTTACCCTGAGTATGGCCTGTTGTCCGAACCTGGATCCAGTGATTTGTTTTCGGGCAATCAATTTGTCCAAATTACTGATGGTGTAAGTCAATCAATCAATTACTCATCTGCTTAACTCAAGCGTGACTTTTCCGTTCCCCTTCATTCATCGTTTTTACCATCTGATCTTATTCTCTAGACGTATGAAGACGTTGACCACCAAGTCTATCCAGCTGGACTGGCGACGTTTCCATGACATGTTTCAGTGGCTCACAGTCACTGTCGAAGTTCGTTTGGATTTGGTAAGATGGCCACGGTACGTTTCCTCCGTGTTTTGACCAATGGTTACTCTAGCCATTTTATATTTACCTTCAATCATTGTTTCTGGTGATGTTTCTCGTTATGCTCGTGTTGATAATTTGGTTCTCACGTGACTTTAGCATGACTTAGCTTTACAAAGTCAAATTACCACTCACTCCTTTGCAATATCTCTTGTGTTATCACCTGTATGCTTCGACAGGTTGATTGGGTAGTAGCGTCTGGTGGCATGACTTTGGAAAAAGCGTTTACTCCTGAGAGGATCTCAATCGGCTTATAGGTTGTACACTTTTTCATTCGTTGTACGCTGGTTCCTTTCCTTTTTTCTTTTGACAGCCGCGAAGTCGAAAACCTTGTCTCGGTTATCCGTATGGCCAAAAGGTGAGTATTGCCCAAGCTTCCATCTCTGCTGTATGCGAGCAGTTCGTGTCGTGTTTCGACCAGATTCGTGATTTCAAACTGGTTGGTTTTACATTTCTTTCCCCCCCATGCACAACTTCTAAACAACTTGACGCCTTCGGATCAGATCATCCTATCACTAGAAAGCTCTGGAAGGAGAAAAGTAGCCTCTCTTTTGAAGAGTTATTGCAACTTCGGTCTGTCTAAAAGTGCTCATTTGCCTACGGTTAGATGCAGATTGGTTTTTGTAGTATTGGTTTATTTGAGAGAGAGAGAGAGAGAGAGAATTTTACTGTCGATCACATCGCCTAGATGACTCTGCACCAATCATTGGCTGCATGTGATTGAAGCGTGGACTTGAAATACTAACTGAGTCCAGGTTGAGCCGATCACGATTTCATTCTTCATTAATTTTCAGATGGCAATCATACCCTAAACACCTCGCCTAATGGTCCTTTCGGATGTAAAGAAAGCTCTCAACGAAAAAAGTCTGATTGCCCTCTTAAGATATGTATCAGACAAAAATATTGTACCCCTCATTCTTTTGTTTACACAACAGAGCTTCAGTTTTTGATCACAGCTGATCCGCCCTTCATTTTTCTCAACATGACTGTTCACAATCTTCCACTTTTCTGTTTCTCAGAGATGTTGTCAGTATTCAGCACAGACACCGCGACCAGTTCAATTGTGCCAAACAAAAAAATGATAACGTAGGTCGACAGTGACAGGGTTCGCATTCGCAAACTGAGACGATGGGCGGACAGCCTCTGCTGCTCTACCATCGCCAGTATCGGATGATGGTACAATGTTTTAATTAGTCACTGGCTTGCTTTAGACCCTGTGGTTTGAAGTTCAAATCCCGCCAATCGACTTTGGTGGTAGGCAGCTTTGCTATCTTCCGGTACAATACCACCCCTAACCTAGCAGGGCCTCAGGTGGTTCGCCACTCCAAGTCCCGGGGGTATGGGTTACCGGTTTCCCTCACTGAACAGCAGGTTCCCGTGACTACGAGATTTACCCCCAAATGCTGTTCATCACACAATAGTTTGTAATAAGAAAACCCTATCCGTAAATAGGGCTCAAAAAGTTAACGCGTAATGACGTGCAACCAGCTCTCTTAGAAGACCTGACGGTAAAATACCACCCAACTTAATATTTTTCAATTCTTGTCTTACTGGTGTCACTGGAAGTAACTTCGGTGTACACATAATAATTGCAGACACTCTCCCATGTCTTCTGACCGTTCAGATTCTTCCCGATTTCATGCATAGAAGAAATTTGGCTGGATTTTCGTCATCACATCCTCGAGCGTATGTTGAACGGAGTTGGCCAGCATACGTTCGACTTCCTACGCTTGTTAATGCCATTGTCTCCGAAAAGTTTCGATCACATCAGGTAAGTGTTGGCAACTTGCTTCACGCGCATACCACCATATTTTTTGTGAATACCATTCCCTTTTTTGAGGGGAGGGGAGGGGGGGGGGCGGGCTCAGTTGTTTTTCTGTCTCTCGCATGATAAGCAACAGAATTTCAGAATTTCTATTGTTATGTTGGTCACCTCCATCGTTTGTATTGACAATGCCGTTTTGATGTCTTCGGTTCATGATGCAAGCTGACTTGTGAAAATCAGACAGTCCGTAATCTTTCACATTTAAATGGCGCATACAAAGATTTCGACGATTACCACTCATGGCTCATGGCTTCTTCTCCCTTTTAGATTACAAGTATAGATAGGTGGTTGCTGGTTTCTTTCTGCTTTTCCGACTACTCCCTTCCACAGTTTATGAAGAGAAAATGAAATCTCTGATCATCCTCGAGTGGTGGGATCTACTTGGAGTTCGATAAAACGACCTTCAGGTTGTTGCGCGTTTTAAATTCCGGGTTGTAAATCCAAAAATACATTGATACACAGTCTGATTCAGGTGAACAATGAGTTAGAAAGTCAGATGATTTTAAGCGATTGAAAAAAATTGACCTTACTTTATCATTCAGTGCATTGTACAGGTCTCCCAGACCGGCCCATGAATGTGTGTTTTGGGCCCTGTTCGCTTGATTATATTTGATGCTTTGTTTCCTTTTATTGCACACACATATCGTCACTGTTAGTTTCCGGCGAATCATTTGATACACAAGTCATTCCTATTACGCTCATTCCAGTCGAACGTGGCTACCGGATATCATTGATCTGTGGTATATCATTACGGATTTCAGCAAACCTTTCCACGTAAGACGAATGACTGTTTTTCTGTTGTTGTTTTAGTAGTTTTATGACCATTATTTTGAGCTATTCAACCTTCTAATCCGCAATAAGAGAGCATTATAAATAGTAATAGTAATGATCATGATCATGATCAATCAATCATTTTTCTGGAAGGAAGCTGCAACCAACCATGTGCTGTATAAGGGAATACAGAAATGCGGAAGATAGACATTGGTGGTGGGCCAGAAAACAAAGGCTCCTGAAGATCAAAAATGCATATATTATGAAATGAATGTCTTTTACTTCCGTTTTATTTATTGAATATACGAATGCGCAGTCAACTTTCAGGAAGGAGGCTGCGGTCATAAAGAGGCTTCCAGGGGAAATACAGAAAAAGGGAAGATGAGCGGTGGTGTAGCGGTTCGAACTCGGAACTTCCGGGTCACAGTTTGGTGACCTAACTACTTGGCCACCATCATCCTAATTACATGGATCCTACCGTTTCATTGTCTTTCCTGGCATTCTCACCGATTTTCGTTATATTTTGTACCAGAGGGGAGTCATATTGAAATAGGCTATCGTTTTTTATTTCGTTTGTCGATAGAGTAGCTGCATGATTACGAAACAATTTATTGATTAAAAAGACGCGATTCCTACTTCGTTTCCCTCGTGCTTGCTTCTTACGGTCGCAAAAATACCTCTTCTGAGCGTGTGCGTAATAACTGTTACACAACTGTAATTTTCACTGCATAGGAAAATTGGGAATCCCTGGGCTTTTCGTTATTCTTTGTGATTAGATTTATCGTCTGGTGGTTCTTCAAAAATAATACACCTGTTTTCTCCTCGAATCGGACTTTTAGGATGTAGTCGGTGTATTGGCCCAAGTGGCTCGTTTTTGCCGGGGTCGCGTGGATTGGGAGCCCCACTTAGAACGGGTGTTCTGCGGCTTACTTCGAGCTATCACGTTACCTCACGGCCCAGTCAGTATGGATGACACAGGCGGACTGCAAATCAAACCGTCAATGATCGATCCATACGCGGAACTGTTGGCCAATGCTATTGGCCCGGATCGGCCCAACTCTCGGTCCACTGTGATCGAAAGACTCACAGATTTCTACAAAGTTAGTCTGGCACCGTTTTCATCAGATGTAAATGGAAAAATTACTGGAGATCTATTGGAATCAGTTTCAAACAAATTTCCTTTTGTAGATCTGTTTGTGTCATACACATTGGCCAGACAGATCATTTCCTGTTCAAGATACTATTCATAATATCCATTGACTGGTAACCCAAAGGATTATAAAAAAGAACAATATTGCTATGCTATTTATGCACCTCTTTTTGCCGAATCCTTACGTCATCTATCGATCCCCTGTTTGGCTTTTAGTTAAACTGAAGTGAACACAGTGAACAGCATTCATTTAGATCAGTTGTTTATTCACAAATTGGTTGCACATTCATATCCGTGCAGTGTTCTTACCGTGGTATTCGCTGTGTATTGCTCTATTAATGCACCCAGAACAACTGTCCCAGGTGAGGAACCTGTTACTGATTCCCAAAGTCGGCATTAAGCTCACATGCTGAACTTCCGTGAACTGGTGGGTACACAACGTGTGCGGGTAATCTCTTTGAGTCTATTGACTTTCAAAACATGTCGCTCCATTAAAGTAAGTGCAGAGCTGACAGACCGGGCAGTTCTTTTTGGCGTACGATACTTGATCACGCATTCTGGTCCTTTTAGCGCCGTTAGGTTGCGTAAATATTCGGGTGCAAGGATTTTCATATGGACTGTCCATATGACAACGCACTCTACCATAGATGATGCATTCTCTGTTCGAGTATGAGCTCGAAGGAATTCCGAGTGCTTTTCTTTCTTTCTATTTTTACTTCCTTTTTGAATATACGATGATACCATTTTCAAGAAGAGGGAAAAGACCAGTCAAAAAGCTGCCACAGAACACACAGAATCGGTAAAGTCAGGCGGTTTTAGTGGGATTCTGGTGATAATTTGGCGACCTTTACCACCGCCCGGTCATCAGCACACAGTGGCGACAATCAATCGAAGCCTTATTCTTGTTTTAACTCTTATCGATGCACAAGGCAATGTTGAACTTCTTTAATAAGCCAGAATGTCCGTGTTTGTTTCATACCTAGCATGCCATTTCAGAAACGCTACTGGTAGATCGGTTCACATGGTTGGCTCTTGCATAACTACTGTTTAACATGATGTTCAAACCTCGCATTCGCTCTGGTTTTCAACCCGTNTCCACTGATCCGATTGTTTCTCTTTCCCTTCATTGCTTCCCACCTATTATCCTTTCAGACCGTTGAACCATTCTATCATCCATCCAATCCGAGAGTCTCATCCGCTCTATTGATCTCGTTCACGCATCACTTTGTGTGCAGTTTGAACAGTCGCCTCAGAGATGAACTTCTGCCCCCGGTGGAACAAGCCGAGGATATGGGCTTGCCTCCCGTCGAGGTGAGCAGATTTCTGTTCGCACGTGTTTACTGTCTCTCGTACTTCTTTCTGCCTTGATTCCCTCCTATTTCACACAACAAGACGGATGAGGTTTTTCAAACCATCGGAAGTCACATTAGGCATTCGTATAAATACGATCGCTATCGATCGATTCGGGAGTGTGAATTTCAGTGCCCAGTCCCTTGCCGCAATTGTACGGCTGGTGTCTTTTCGTGCTTCGAAACAACAATTGCTGTCATACGTGGACGCGATACTCGGTCATTCGTCTGTGCTTAACAGATGGGGGTCATAATGATCTAACAGAATGAAAACCGCATATGTTGTCCTTGTGATTCCTCTCAACTAAGTAGCAAGCGATCGCTGATCTCGGCTCACGTCATTGTCACACTGGGTTGTTTTTGGCTGAATCACCTTATTTGTGGATGTGTTTAGCCGTTCTTGTACGCAACATCCTATATGTTCTACCGATGTATACTTTGTTTGTTTATCAGTTACAAAACATACGTGGCCAGAAACTGAATCGCACAGGTGAAGGCACATTACGGCCTTTAGGCACCAAATCACGTGAATGCGAAATTTTTATGAGTACATACATATGGGCTAATAGTGTGACAAGCTCCATTAGTTAGTGTTATTTTTTGAGTTGGATTAGGAACAATGGCGCTTTGTTTTTGTCATGTTTAAATCCACAATTTTCAAAATGTGTACAAACCGCTCTAATCCTTGTTTTTTTAAATCCGGTTGGCAGACTACGCGAGGTTTGACTAGGTGCAGCGTATAATATTGCTTTGAGTGAAAACACGATTATCTTCTGATTTTGCACGAATAATGCCTAATTTGTAATCGCATCAGACAAACCCTTTACTCCCCCAGAGTTCGTTTCATTATTATTGCAGTATATTACTTGTAGCAATCTCCTCAGTTGTCGACTGCGTTGCTAAGGTATCTAAATAATCCCTTCCTAATGGTTTCTGATGGACTATTTTCTGTCACACTAACACTCATCCAACAACAGAAGCTATGGTTTTGTTATCATTTTGGCACAGCATGAGGTCCAATGATTACTTTGCGCGTTTGCCACCTATCTCTACACTGACTGCGAGTTGTCTCGGTCTGTTTGAGTTCATAAATCAATCCTGCTTCTTACCCGGTGGCATTCATCAAAATCTTATTCGCGCTTCACATTTTCATACAAATTTGCCAAATTTTCCCGTTCTTCCCTATACATTCGGGGCTCAAGGACATCAATGACTGACTGTGAACCTAGCAGATACACATATCTGATGATCTCCCATTACCGCGAAATTGGTCAATTGGTTTCAGGGAAATTTTGTTTAGTCGTCCACATACCACTTACTACAACATATCATAGATGGCATTCAGCGAAAGCGGTTACGGTTTTCAGCACCTAACCTGTACGATATAGAATCGAATCCGTGCTTTGATTCAGGACCGAACTGATTAAGAACTGCATTTCCACAAAACTAAACCTCTTGTCGATGATTAGAGATTCATGTTGAATGACTGTTTTCCCCACTGTGATCAGGGCTTGAGAAGTCTTTGAACAAAGTTTCTGTGCTCTTCCGTTCGTGTTTTACTGCGGGTTCCAGTTTGACGCCACGAATTTTTTGAGTCCTCCTAAAAGCACAAGGTAATCTGGCACACATGAGTTCTTCCCGTGGAGGTTCAATCAAACTGCTGTAAGGTTCTCGGATGGGATCGTTTCTGACTGGTATGTTGTTTTCGCATCCACTTTCAACTACTGGCAATATTCAATGAAACTGAACTGTACACGTCAGTCCCAATCCTGAATCTAGGGTTGACGAACTATCTAAGACCCCAGCGGATGAGATGCAGTGTTGCACCTGACAATGAAAGTGTGCCATCACGACGAGACTGCACCTTGGCGTGGTGTGATGATTTGCGTGCCTCCATGACCTTGTGAGTGATACATGATGGGTTTTCACAGCCGTAGATCCAATCATACCTGAAAGGTCAACGGGTAGAGGCCAGACGAAGACCAGTCTCACAAGCCAGCTGGTTGGGCACCTCCTGGCTTCCTTCTATCCACATCAGCCACTGGAGAGGCCACTCCAGCAAACAAACACGGTGAGGGGCAGTTTGCCGGTCAAAAAAACCCCGCTAGATGAATGTAGGAGCGGGGTACCTGGGGATTCCTCTTGACGGTGGGAGAAGTCTTCGCCCGCCCAAGCTGGGCAGCCCCCAGCCAATAAGGTGCTGTCCCGTCCATGTTCTGCTTGTCTCATCGGGTGCATGAGGCTAAGGGCCGATCCCGAAAAGCGGACCGACAATCAACGCACCAGCGAACAACAAATTAAATTGAAATTCGAAGGCCCTGTGTGACAGGTCTCTAGAAGCTCCCGCACGGGAGTTTCGTTCACGCTCCCGCGTTGGATTTACGCTCCACTGCCTTGTGGGTTAGATTTTTGAGTCGAAGGATCCGGTTAGGGTTCCCAAAGAAAAAACCCTTCGTCGGTGTGGGCTACCGCAAAGTATGTCGTGCCCTAAAGTCTTAGGCAGCCATTTGGAAAAACCTATCGCATATCTGCCTAGTTTGTCCTATAAATTCCGAATAATCCCAGATGCTTCCTGTTTACGCCACCCATCAAATATCAATCAGCGTTTTACCATTAAGGTCAGACAATCAGGAACTATAGAATTTTGAAGCCGAAATTCCGTTTTCAGTGAGGCGCGTTCAACGTCCACAAGCTCTACAAGATCTGTCAACAAGCTGCCTTAGCTGGAACCCTTGAAACATTAAATTTAAATGTCTCCGAAACACGCATAAAACACCCCACATCAACCATCTCCCTGCGTTCTCCTGATCCAACCCCAACCTCACGCTTCACCCTTCGTGTGTCAGGCGATTTTATATCCGAAACTCGTCTTGTTGCTGGTGTTGGGATTACGCTAAGTGCCAAGGCTGACCGCTCGCTTCTTGACTGGATTCCAGTAGCCGATTGTGCGCTGCACGTCTCAACGGTTCAGTTCGAGTCAACAGCTACAGAACGAAGCGTCGTTGCTTATTCGTTGTATCGGTGTATGCACCGACCGATTGCAGTACACCTGAAATGAAGGATGAATTCTACAAGGATCTTTCTCAATTAATCCAGTGTTCGATGAACAGACGTCGTAGTAGTCGCCGGAGACTTCACTGCTTAAGTGGGATCCCTGGACGAATCAGAAAGGCTTCTTGGCGGACCACATGCTATCCCAGCCAACCGGACGGACAACGGAGATCGCCCACTTCAACTCTGTGCGCAACACGGATTGTTCCTGTCAAGCACGAACTTCTCGCATAAGAAACGCCGTCGACTTACATGGAGACCGCCAACCTTTTCACTGCGCTGGACCCAAATCGACCACATCGCCATCAGTTACCACTGGAGGGGATCGATTCAAGATGGCCGCTCTTACTGGTCAACAGCTGTGGATACAGATTCTGCCCTCTTATAAGCCAGATTCTCCCTACGCCTGGCAAACAACCGCAGAAAAGCCACCGACAAGGGATCCCCACAATACGGCGTCCACGATGGCTGCAAATCGGCCTTCGAAGCGGAGCTCTCCAATCGCCTTTCAGTACAAACACCAGTAGAAGGATTCAATGAACACTGGAAGCAAATCAAGGAAGCAATGCAAATATCATCAAAAATAACGTCAGACTCTGGCGTCGATTCAAAATACAAACGATGGATCTCGTCGACCTCGGCTGCCTTGCTGGACGCCCGCAGAACCCTCCCTCCGGATGCCACATATGACACAGCGCGTAAATCCCTCAAACGCCAGCTCATCAAGAGTCCGAGAAATGGCCGCGAGAAGTGTAGAGAGATGGAGAAGGCTGCGGCTATCGGCAAAGGTCGCAATCTTTTCCGTCCAATTGAGAATACAGGCCCCAGGAAAACAGGTGTGAGTAAGGTAATTGAGGAATGCAATGGCACACTGATTCACGATCAGCAACGCCGTCTTGATCGATGGGCTGAACACTTCAAGGCTCAGTTCAACTGGCCCCCATCGACATCCGATCTTTCCCCCTCCGCCTCGACTGGGAAAATACTGTCAGTTGATGCTAGTCGTCCATTTAAAATGGAGGTTACCCGAGAAATAAGTTATCTCAAACGGCATAAGGCTTCCGGCCCCAACGGGCTGTCCCCATCGGTTTTTAAGGATGGAGGTTCAACCTTGGTTTTGGAGTTAACAAAATTTCTGGGCTCAGTGTGGAAGAGGGAAGAAGTTGCAGCTGAATGGTGTGAATTGGTGATCATACTGATTTACAAGAAAGGCGACAGATCATCCTGTGAAAACCATAGAGAAATTAGTTTAATCAACATTGCCTCTAAACTTCTCGCCGGTATCATACTCCGTCGATTGTCTGCCGCACGTGAACGGTGCACGCGTGAGAACCAGGCTGGCTTTAGACCCGGTCGAGGTTGTATCGACGATATCATTCTCCGCCCAATTCTGGAGCATCGACATTTTTTTTCGTAGACCCACCATCTCTGTCTTCCTATATCTGAAAGCGACTTTCGACTCAGTCGACCGCTCTAAACTCTGGCGCTGCCTTTTTCTGAAAGGTGTGCCCGAGAAGTGAATTTCAATATTACGATCGCTTTATACTAATAACCGAAGTTGAGTCCGGGCTTACGGCACTTTTTCGCCCGAGTTCACCACAGAAAGTGGTGTTCATCAGGGTTGCCTTCTCTTCTCTTCCCTTTTCTATTCAACTTTGTTATGGATTTGATTATGAAAACAGCCCTATCCTCGTGCGAAGAAAGTAGCATCGATTTACTCCCAGTTGTCAGACTGTCTGATACAGAGCATGCAGACGACATTGTGCTGCTAAGTGGAGATGCAGGTAAGTTGCAAGCTTTTTTGGACAGCTTAAATGCCAGTGTAGCCACGTTCGGTATGCGTTTTGCACCTTCAAAGTGCAAAATGTTACTACAAATCTGGGTCGGTCCAGCACCGAGCTTCACTCTAACTGGAGAAGCAATAGAGCAAGTGGATAAGTTTTTGTTATTTAGGCAGCTACATCTCACCCGGTGGACGCATCACGGATGAAGTGTCAGCTCGCGTACAGAAGGCTCTGTTGGCACTTGCCAAGTTGAGACATCTGTGGCGTCGTCGCGACATCCGGTTGTCTGTGAAGGGTCGAGTGTATGCTGCGGCAGTTCGGCCAGTTCTGCTACACCGGTGCAGAAACTTGGCCATTAAGAAAGCAGGACAAAGATAGACTGTCGGTGTTTGAACACCGGTGTCTACGCAGCATTGCACGAATCTGGTGGGACAACCGGATGAACAATGCTGGGGTTGGGCGCAGAGTTTTAGTTAACCGCGGTTGTCCACTGGAGCAAGTGGATGACCTCCATAGATTACGGCGCACGAAAATGCATGGTTAATGGTTGTTCAAACTGAAACTGACTGAAAGTACGGCTTATCGTATAGGTGAACCAGTGTAGCTATCATTTAAACCTTATTTCTCTCCAGACTATCAAACTGCTGTTGGTCAAGTGGAATGGACCATACAATCTGGTCTGACCTTAAACTACCTTGTCGCATGTCCAGCAGTGCTGTCCTGATATTCTGTTTGGTTTGTGTGTGGGCGCGCTGTATGAGCGATCTATCAACTGTGTGATCGCTCCCTGTCTTGTTTTTCCAAGCGGTCATCCATTCACCGTAAAACTGCTTCTGGTCGATTGAAGAAATTGTCTAAGGAAATTGTGAAAAAATCCTACCAATACACACTGTAACACACGACTGCTTATTTGTGATTTTGTCGGAATTTCATTATCATACCGAAGTTCTGCACATCCAGTTGGTGCCAAGAAATTTTTGTTACTGATTTCTGAATAGGTTACTTTGGCATGACCCGCACTCCGTTGTGTTTAATGATGTGGATTCATATTGCATCCATAATACATGGGTATTGTAGATTAAATGTTTTGATTCGGGTAGAAATGGTAGAAAGCTTTCCATGTTGAGTAACAACTGTGTCAAGAACACAAAAGCCTCCCTCAATGTCGGCCTAATTCTATGAGAAAACGAAATCAACTGATGAAAATCCACCGAAGATTCCAGGGAACTCGTGGAATCTACGAGCAGTTTTGTGAGGCATCAATTTACCCAATTTAATTGATCAACTCTTCCCTGGAATTTTATAATAACGGTTATCGCGCACATGTTTATACTATTCTCCAAGCCGTCATGTACATATATCTAGTGAACACGTTTTCCCCTGGTGTGCCTCAGTACAAAATTGCAGGTCCTTTTGGACCACCTGCATTGAGTCAGATCACGCATTAGTTTTAATGCACATCACGCTCAGACTTACTGGTCGCAGACGGAACCGGCAAACTAGGCTAGCCCGTCATCGCCTGTTTGTTTGAACAGCTTATGTACTATGAACCAGCTAGTGTGTGAGCTAAGCGTGATGTTGTATACATGAACAGTTGAATCAGATTGGCCGAGCAGTGCATTCCGCATCGAATGTTGCTAGTGGGTCTGAGCCCCAAGCCCTTCAGAGATATGGGATATCTCATGAATCAGTAGTCCTGATGAAGGTAAAACAACGAATCCCGACTTGCCAGAATCGAAATAGGGGCTGGTGGCGTCCGCAAAGTCAGCTCACGAACAGCCTCGAGAAGGTGGACAACAATGGCTTGCAAAATGGAAGTAACAGCTGCCTCATGTAATAGTCAAAGACAGTTCCTGCTGATGTGCAATACGGGAGGTTGGCGAACCTCAGTTAGTGAAACAGTCTGCGATAAAACGAGACAAGCTGTTCACAGTAGGGTGAAGTACTTCAGCGAACAGTCTTGATTACTTAGTCTGCATCTGAAGTTTCGTGAGCCGTGTCTTGCGATCCTCTGGCGGAAGCAGAAGTACGATCTTGTATTCAAGCTCTGAATAAGGAGAAAAGCAGCATGACTGGACGGGCTTCCCCCTACTGTTTTCAGGATAGTCAGTAACCTCGTAGACTTCAGTACTCACTTACTGTGTAACATCTGGTCCCAGGAGTACATTGTATCACCTTGGAGCAAATCACCGGATATCCGCGGGATCAGTTCGATCCCAGTCATCACCAAAGTGTTGCCTTCCGCCATACTTCGACGTCTCACTCCTTTAAGAGAAACCAACATCCCTTAACAGCAAGCCGGATTCCGATCTGAACGGGGAAACTTCGATTTATTCTTTTACGTTCCATCAAGTCCTCGAGCTGCATCACGCCCACCGTCGACCGACGTTTAGGAGTGGTATTGAGCCGGAGGACGGCATAAATGCCTATGCGCGAAGCGCACTTGATAGACTAATGAGTGCCGTTACCATATTCGGTATGTGCTTTGCGCCTTCAAAGTGCTAAGTGATGCTGCCAGACTGGGTATATCTTAGTCCAACTCTGAAGCTAAATGATCAGGAATTAGTTATGGAGGATTGCTTTTTCTACTTAGGTAGCTGCTTGATCATACCGATAGCGCAGCAAAAGAGACAACGGACTGCATTTCCAAGGCTCTAGCAGTGTACGTAAGACTGAAAGATCTTTGGTGTAGACAAGAAGTTTCACTGAAGTTGACAAGTCGTGTATATTGTGCTATCGATCGTTCAGCTCTGCTTTATGGTTATGAGACCTTAAATTTGCAAGTAAAAGAAATGTATTCATTTATTGACTTGATTAGAAATTTTCGGTTATCGGTGTTAACTTAATTTCACCCACGTGGAATGTAGATAGGCATAGTTTCGCGAGACATAACAACTTTGAACTCCTAAGCGCTGTAAGCGTACCACTGCTAGCCTGTGAGAACTCGAAAGCGCGTTAGCACATAACTATTTCTGTGGTTGCATCCATTCATTCTCTATGCGTTGAAGTCATTCGGTCAGTGTATGTAGTTCAACAGTTGATTTACCTGGAGCATTAACTTCGGTAGTCTATAGACTGTGATTGTTGAAACTCGTGTCTTCTCACCACTGTACTCTATTCGTCTGTATTGCTTTATCTTTGGTCGGTGTGGATACGAACAGAAGGTTAGTCAAAATAGTCGAACGTGTCGCTCTACTGACCGAAGAAAAGTGTTGCGAAATTCGTTCGGTCTTTTTCGTTGAGATCCCTAATTTTGTTCGAATCCTCCATCTCCGATGGACGTGACCTCTGATCATGGTTTACAGGACTGGTTCTATCCTGAATCTGACTGATAGCCGATCAAATTATTTGTTCGACTTTTTCCGTACCATTTTGCTTCTGTCTACCAATTCCATCATTGACCCTACCTGTTCTCGGTTGGTAGTTTAACCTCACCGTGGAACAAGTGGATGATATTGTCCGCCTCATCTTGCCTGTCGTACTGGATCATATGTTGTTCTTCAAATTCGAGCGGACACTAATTAAAGTGGCCCGGACGATCGATATCCTGGCACGCCTTCGACCGGCCCTCGTACTGCCTGCCCTTTTATCTGCCCTGGAAGAGGGTGTTAATCGACCGGAAAGTCCACTACGCTACACCCGTCCGTTGTACGCACTGTGCTTTTGTGTGGCTGGCCTGTGCCACGTCCGATTCCCGTTGTTTCTCCAAGGTGGTGGTGCACGCTCTTTTAGAGCTGTGGACAGTTCCGGGGCGGGCTCAGCGGACTCTGACGAGGATTTAGATGAACAACCTGAAAACGGTGCCGGTGCACACGACCACACTCCGGATGAAGGACCCGACTTTGTTGAAAATGCTTTGGATCCCGCTCTGGTCGAGGATTCGGTGGACTCAACTATTGGACAGAAAGTGAGCCAAATATTTCCTTTCTCCTTGCCACTCTCTCTTGGATGCACTTAATAGGATTTCAGCTAAGCTACTGATGATTAATCCATTAGATATGTTTTGTACGATCTCGTTTTTCACGTCTGATTTTATGTGCAGTGATCCAGATTCTCAAACCACTTGAACTCATCATCACCTTGTTTTCTCTCGTGTATCAAATGAGGCGAGCGTTAAGTTTATTCGAAAAATTATCCTTGGGGGCAACTACTCTAGGGGAATTTGATGCGTTACGCAAACAACCTCACACAAAGTTATAGATTTTTGGTCAAGCTCACACTCATTTAAGATTTATATCTTAATGGTTATTTCATTCTGACCTGCTGAGGCCATTTAAATCTACTCAAACGGCGTTTAATGCTGATGCACCTGTGCGAAACAAACAGTTCGGATGAGACCCCATTCTTGTCGGTTCATTTCGCACACGGACACTTCCTGACTTAGTGAAACTTTTCAATTTGAAACGGACATATCAGAACATAACACTTGGTTATTAGGGTTAGTATTGATGTCATCGTGATTGGATGTATATATTCGAGAATTATTGCACTGAGTGCCCGACCCATTAGAATGCAATCCACTGGCCAACGAGCTTGTGCACACAATCGTTTCTGTGATTAGGAAGCACTGAGTTTCTTTTGATTGAGCTGTTCAGTTCAGTGGGTAGTCTAACTCCGTTGTAACTATGACTCCTGTTTGCCATATCTGGCATTGACCTACCCGAGGAGTTGATTACAATGCAATAGGAAGAGGTGTTGGTTACTAAAGTGATAGAATCGATTGAACATGAAGGGTGACTATTTAGTTACATCCGCTTGATTCTAATGGTAGTAATGCACATGTAGTAGGTCCAAAATCCTAGTTTAAGGACCCATCAAACGAATGGCATACGGTCGCGATACACTGAGGAGGAGTACGCCACATGCGCTAACGGACCGATGCGATGATTCAATGAGTGAAGATGACTAGAACTCTGCGTGATTGTGGTTCGATCCCGGGGTATATAAAAGCATAAACTCAAATAATGCGATCTGAATGAGATGGCACTTTAAAGCAGTGTAATGGTTCGTATGTTTCTGCGACCTGTGCTGTTCATTGTCAGTTTGATTAGATACAGGTACGCCCTCTATTTGAGCTCCATGTTTACTCTCCTGGTAGATCATTCTCGCAAATAGATACGGAAACGAGTTTATCGGTCAACTTATCTCACTTTAGATCAAGGTACTTGAGGTTCCCTCCTGTTACCAAAGTAGTTCTGCGTGATTCATTAGAAAACCGTTGTCACCTAGATTAGACACCCCGGCTAACGCAGTGCCAATTGCAACGGACAATACTATGCACGAGAGAGGGGGGAGATCAGTCACCAAGTCAACGCGAATGTAACCAACCTTCCACGTTGTTCTTATAGATCGGGTTCATGATTGTGAATGGTCAAAGCCCCTGCTATTTCGGTAATTTTGTGTTTGTCGTGTTCCAAATGACTTCAAATGATCAGGTTGGAGTGACAGTGTTCTTTTTCATGTATATTCGGCATAATCTAAGATTTACATATTTTCCTTCTAATCGAATTTGTCGATTATCGCTCTCTTGATCCTCGCTGAGAAGCTTTGGAATATTCGGTGACGTCATGTAGACAGGACGGGTAGGCGNTTACGTCACCGAATATGGACCATAAATTCGGATTTGTTACATCATCAATGGGTCAGAAAAGATACAAATCCTAGGTTACGCAGCGCATATGAAAGGAAACCGTGTTATTTAAAACATGTCAAATACAGTGATTGAAGTAGGTTATGGCTTCAATCATTAGAATCACAAATTTAGTATATGTTAATGTCTTTCAGGAAGGGGGCTGTGGCCATACAGAGGCTACCTGGGAAGAGGGGTGGCGGTGGAGCGGTTCGAACCCGGGACTCACAGGTCACAAGTGGGTGACCTAACCACATGGCCACCACCGTGATTTGTTGGTCACATTAGTACTGCTTTAGTGATTGACCCTCCTCTCGCATTTAATATTACAAATTGTGGTTAGCAGTTTGGTCTCCCTTGTATTGCGATGATGTTTCTTTTAGCTCGTTGAGTGCTTACGACTGAGGATCTATCCGTATTAGCGAACTTTTACTGAAAACTGGAATAACAGTGACGTTTGACATGATTTGGTGTTTGTGGATCCCGTGGATCCCTTTTAACGTAAATCTTATCTCGGTCTGATTACTCGCTTGATTATTCATACTCCCAGTTGAGTTGAGCAAAACGTAAGCACCTTATCGTACGGGATAAGTATATGAATATCAATGCGGTTCTGTAAGAAAAAAGTAACTAACATTTAGTACACGTAAATGGGAGATTGGCATACATCCATAGTGAAGGGGGTAAGCACTCACATCAAGATTTCCCGAGTCCGCGTAAATAAACGTAATATGATCCACGTAATAGTGCGGTGTGTAGTCGATTGTGTGGGACCGTAGTCACCCAGACTAATGGGCTGATGTCATAAGGTCAAGTACATTGATTGGCTGGTTTCACGAATGCGCGAATGGGTCAGAGTGGTGAGGTGACAGGCGCGGTGAGTGCCTGTGTGGTCATATGACTGGTTGCCTTGTCCTATTGCGTGTCGGCATGATCCGATGAACCGGGCACTAGTGAACTGTGAATTTCACACACCATCTGGCTCTGGTCAACCAAACACTACGATCGTAAATACCCCCAGAAAATCCACATGCTTCGGCCTGGGTAACCTGGCCGTATTCCACCCACGATCAAATCATGGACTGATTTGTTTGCTATAAATATTGTTGTACCGTAATTTGTATGATACTCAGTCCGGACTCGAACATGTGTGAGGTATAGTACTTTAATTTCCTACTGGAAGCAATAGTGTCGTGAAAAAAAACCAATTTTCTCTTTTTGGTCATTACCTCAATGAATGCACGTTTATATATTGTGATCAAAAAGTAAAGGTGACTGAGGTGCACGAAATCACCCATAATGTTTGTTCACAACTCGAAAGTGTAATGTTCCTCACATGTTTCGAAAGTAACGACCAACTTAAACCCGTTATTTTTTTCATCCATTAGGGATTCCATTTGAGTGGAAATTTTGGTCTTCAGTCTTGATCACGTGACCGGAAACCGACGCCACTTTATCCACTAATGTGTTGTTACATTGATGTTAGAATTGAGAGCTTTTACTGGTTATCTGAAGTGTTCTCCTTAGCTGTTAAATAACCGAATGATGGTGCACTGAACGGAACAAAATACATAAATCTCTACTTGGTCCCGTTAAGTTTGTTTTTCGTATGAGAGGCTGCCATTTAACTGCTATCCGATCATAGGTCTCGTTAAGCTCCCTGACTGGGGACTTCGGGATGATCGTAACCGATGTTTAGAGATACTGATTGATATGGTTGAGTGTCGTAAACAGTGACGTTCGTGCATCTCAATTTCTTTGCAAACTTAGACCAGTGAAATTCTCCATTTTCAGTTCGACTCTTTCAACCTTCTTTCTTTCTCCTATTCTTCATCCAAATGGGCAGCAAAAACCGACCCAGGAAAGTGCATGGTTAATGGTTGTACAAAATGAACTGCGGTTCGATCGATCCTATGTTTGTCACGTGTGCATTTCATTCCTTAGCACATCTTACAGCCGGGGCATCACCTCTCTCACTTCCTGGCCATTGCTTACGGTATTTGTTGTTCTCGATTCAAATGTATTCTCCATGTGATTTCGCTTTGACATCAAAATTCGCATATGATCCGTCCATCATGCCCTATCTCTGTTTTGCTACGGCTCGATTGCAAACTCCATTACAGATCGCGAGTCATTTAGGCCTGCTTTCTGCGAACGGTCAAGCTCACCTGAAGGCATTCACCTTCCCCAAGGGTCGTGTGGAACTGGTGCGTTTGATGAATCTGCTCCTCCTCGGGTTCGATTTGGATTACACGGACCGCGTGTACCTCACCATCGCGTGTCTGAGTCGATTATGTAGGTTGTTATGTTTCAGGTGACACATGGATTCGATTCATCCAGATTTCATTTCCCCTCAATCCCGCAACTTGTTGATTAATTACGTTCGTGAATCTACGTCATTCTCCCCCCGCCCCCTGAACTCTATCTAAACAGAGCTACAAGGTGACGCGGAGTGCACATACGTAGACTGTATTGATTTTTGTATAGCATACTTTTGATTATATTGCAAATAATCTCATATATTCTACGGTGGATAGATTGTTTTCTATGGTACAGTCAAGGAGCATCATCTAAATGAGATAGCGTTAATGACACATCAATTTTATTGTGGAGCTGAATGCTAGTGAAGGCGTGCATTGGACTGGATCTGTTTATCATCTTTGCTTAGAATCCACCCGAGCAACTTCTCCAGAGTCCGGTTGACCTGAAGTTAAACGTATGGAACACTATTGAACATGCTATACCAACGTGTGTGGTGTGCACTCAGACTTTACCCTCTCAATGATATATATTTCAGGGTAAGAGTTTTGGGCACCGAATCCGAAGGTCCACCGTTCGAGTCCCCGCTGATGAGCCCATCACACGACTGCCCAGTGCTATTGATCAGGCATAGAGCCGAGAAACCTGGGAGTGAGGTGATGACTTCGGACATCCTCACCATTACTGACCTTGTGACGGACTCAACTCTGTAACGAATGGCTATGTTGATCGTGCACACCAACACAATGCAATTAATATCCAACTGCCACTGGTATCAAGGCAAATCTACGGAACTTACAGCTCTGCTTGAACCACCACTCTAAGATCGATCAGCATGCACTTTTGACAATGTTTACTGAAACTAAACCAGATGTATGCTTTCAAACAGGTTTCTTGATGGTATTTGACACATATTTTTTTCATCAATTCATGCATTGCATTCACTGACGGATGCCTTGAATTGTTTTCTATTTGTTTGTTTGTTTTTGAATACCAATCTTTGTTATGCTCCACGGATCACTGCCACGTTGTGTTCCGATTGCATCAATCGTGCACCAGTGACCTCTATTCACGAGTACCGTTTCTCTCTCTCTCTGGTCGTGATGGATTCGATAGAGTTGCCTATTTGTTGTCATGGTTTTTCACTGCACCCATTTTGATTCTGTTCGAACTGCTCAGTCAAACCGACCGTGAAATATGGCACCACGAGACTGCATTGTAGACCAAGAGTCTGTTAAGTAGCTGAGCTCACAGTGTTTTTGCATCATCATCCGGTCGTATAATAGATCAAGTAACTTGGTAGGTACTTATAAGGAACCACATATTTTTTCCGGCGGAAATGGTGTGATGAACTGGAGCGATGATCGGAAGAAAGCGAGAAAACAGAGTCAAATTTGAGGCTTTACCGTTCCCACTATATAGCTGCATCAGCTACAGAAGAAAAAATTGCATTGTTATTAAACACTGTGATCTTGGTGTAACAGTTCAGTCTAAAGTGATCTAAGCAGAAATTATGCTTAAATCTGATTGAGACCAGATGAAGACTATACCCTCTTTCTCTCACATAAATGGAGGAGAGAGAGAGGTAATTCGTAAACATACACGTACTGTTATGCCATACTACAAACGTGACAATTGCTTTTCAATTGGAGTTCTTTCGGATGCATATAATTACTTCCAAGTGATCGTTCTTGTTTGTTTAACAATCCGCTTGTGATCGTTTGAAATTCTGATGTTCTGACGATTCCCACTGAAAGTCTATCAACAAAAATTAGAACACCGTTATCTACTCAACCTAACCAAGCAAACTGTCTTACAATGAGGCTAGATTTAATCATTTTCATCAGTTTCCGTGCACGTAAGATTCATCTGCCTTGAAAAGTGACCAATCAAGTTGTGCATTTCCTCATTCACCTTGACAACCATATTTTTATAGACCTGCCCGTGTCGTTCAAATGCGTTTCATCGATCTTAATCCGTTATCCTTTGAAAGTACGGATTTTGAAGCGCAAAGATTTTTGGTTTTCCTTAAAAATCTCAGTCACATTTACTTATGTATTTTTCTCTTCAGTCCTGTCTACACCGATACAAGATTTCTCGGAATTCGCACCGAATGAGCTTACCACAGGTTTAGATTTAGAAGAGGAGGCTCAAACTCAAGTTGAATCCATTGCTTCATCGTCCGCTGAAATAGAGGAATTGGCCATTCGTGT